CCTGGGTTATCCTGGGCTGCAGAGGAGCCTCTTCAGGAGCGCTACCCCGAGGGAGAGGGGCTGGAGCTGGAGCTGGAGGTGCCTCCGCCCGTCCCGGAGCCCTCCTCCGTGGCCTGCGCCACGTCCCCGCCTCGGTACACCCTGGGTCTCCTCGGATGGGTAAAGGCTGTGATGTCACTGCTGTCTGCTGAGTGAGAGGCTGCCGCAAGGACTGGGCTTTTGCGTGCTTGGGGAAATGGCCAGGGCAGTGGCTTGCACGCCGGTCTTTGTGCCAATTAGGGAATGGAGCGCCCTCTGGAGGGTCAGGTGCTGAAAGGCATCCTCAGCCCCGGCCAGCGCCCACTGTCTGCGGCAGGCACAGGGTAGACACCTCTGCTGGAATAGACCTAAGAGGACCTGAAGCTGGAAGCTTATAATATGAAGAAGACTGACTGTTTCATGGATCAAAGCGATTTGATTTTTTCAAATCTAAATTACTGAATAATAATAATTACAGTAAGGCCTAGTAAATAATATCCTATGCTCAAACTGCAGAGGAGGTAGGAGGAACCCAGTTCGGACGAGGCCTGTTCTTTCGGCATGTAAATGTCACAAGAGTATCCATTCTTGATACTTTGTTTTGTTTACCTTACCAGGATATTAATTTTTGACCTAGGCATTAACATTAAAAACTTGAAATATCGAAGAGGTAGTCGAAACCCAAACAACCAACTTGAGTTATTGATGTTTAATTATGGAGGCAGTTACAGTGCTGTAAAGGAGCTCATCTCTGATTGCAGCTGTAACCCAGGCAGTTCTAAATGAAAAGAAGGGATGTTGGAAGGTGGCAATATAACACGAGAATGTCCATGAGTTGATTTTAATTGGTAAACAGGCAGTATATAGTGATAACCATTTGATCTGTCCACTGCATTGGAATCCAAGGAAAGTACATAAAATCACAGGAGCATATAATTGGTGTAGTAAACTCATTTTCTTATGTTATCACAGCTGGCATCTTCAGGTTATTAAAAGCCTTTCAAACCAGTCATCTTCAAAGAGATCTAATTGTCAATATGGTCTTTATACATTATTCCTGTTAGCACAGAGATGAAGAGATATAAACAGGCACTAAAATCTGCACAAATCTTCTATATACAGTTTTCTTATTTCAAGTTCATGGAAGATGAGTACATAAATGATGAAGATAAAAACCCATTCTGTAGGTCCTGCTTTCCTCTTTAGATGCACAGGCTAATCAATCCATAGAGAATAATTTCTTAACACTATAACCTGAATTAGACTTTAAAAAATAGTTATAATTCACTAATTACCAGAAGTTTTGTGGTCTTTTTGTGTGGAGGTGGCCCTACAAATAGGACTATTTCTGTCATGTAGAGGCTGTATCAGAATTAGGAAAAATAAGCCTCAGTTCTGACAGTTCTGTTGGATGAGCACAGTTCCACTTATTCTGGCTGGACAGTCCCAGACACTTCTAGAAAGGTTTGCACATTCTAATGCCTCTCACCCATCCAGCACTCAATCCCTCAAGGAGATTTTTTACCAACAGAAAGAATAGGATTATTAGTATAAAACAAATCAGAAACAACCCCTTCCCCATGTCATCCTTGAAAAGGGAAAGGAATCTCCCAAAATGAAGGGGTGTGAAATATGTAGACCAGATATGAGGAGGCAAAGTTGGTATCAGCCCAGTGTTAATTTTTATTAAAGATTTACTAAACATTTAATTTTATATGAAATCTATCCTCTAGGCCACACAATATAAATACAAACGGTAGCAAATTAAGATAGGATCTCTATCCCTCCCCCTATATCTGGGCATCTTCAGGGTCAATATTACATGTCCTTAATATGTGACCACTTAACCTGCAATGATGCCTCCAGCCTCTGCTGGTTATACTGGTAAGGAGGGCTCATGCCTTTGGTCTGTAGTGATCTTTTCTTCCATGGGCTCTGCTCATGTGTGCTGCTGATACTCTGGAAACTTATGCTGTTGGGAGCCCATGACGCACCGACACCATCACAAGGTCCATGCCTTTCCTGTTTCTTCATGTTCTCAGCTAAGAACTTGAATCTACGAGTGAGACAAATCTCATACTGAACTTGGCGTTATCTAGACAATGAGGTCTGTTAGCTCAATTTCCCATTAGGAAGAATTCTTGATTCAGGAGGGCTCTCAATCTCCCCTGTAAGTAACCACATCTAACTGTTTTCTCAGACATTGCTGCATCCCAGATGTGGTGCAGCTTGGACTCCAGCTGAAGTCTGGGATAGGTATGTGGACCTTTGACCTCCCGAGTTTTTCCACCAGTAGATGATGAAATCAATTTCTCCTCCAACATGGGCTTAATCTCTGAATTCTGATAGTTCAACTCGGAAAATTTCATGGATAACTCTGATTCTATGTTTGCAATCAGGTGACTGGATAATTTTTAAAATTTTCAACTATGTCTTTAAAAAGTACTACAGATAGCAAAAGTTATGACATATTTGAATATAAATAGAGCTTGTCTGTATATATTGGTCAAAACAACACTTTTTTTACTGTTATTTACACTGTTAGAAAACTGTCACTGCATATACTCTAGCCTGGAATTTCTGTAAATTCTTTTCACTGTCTGTATATAGGATTATTTTAAGCTCACCACATTTTAATGTTATTGCTGCAGTTACAATAGACATCAGCTATCAATTATGATAATGTTTTATTTACTTTCTATATCAAGAAAAAGCCATTTGGTTAAAATTATCTACTATATCTCAATTACACTGTCATAGGATACTAGCTAATATCTTTCAGGATAAAAATCTGGTAGCAAATTAATTATCAAGTTAATAATCTTGATAATTTGAAGATGAAATAACCCTTTGTTCTCAAATTTAAATACTTCATATTTTTTAGTCTGCTTGTGAGCTGACAAAATAAATGCATAGCAAATTCTAAGACAATAGCATTTTCCCTACTCTAAGCAAAGAATTAAGTCTGGATGTAGACCTACAACCTCTAGAAAGTAGACAGCTATGGATCTTGGCCCGCTGTAGTTCTGGTCTGGGATTTAGCTCAGTGGCTTTGCCGCCTGCTGCGCAAGCGCAAGAGCCCGAGTTCGATCCCTGGTACCAAAAAGAAAAAAAAAAAATAACAAATACAATAATAGGACATTATGCTAACATTTTAGCAAGAACTGGGTATTTCCATAAATAAGATTGCTAGGTAACTAAACTTTTAAATTTCACTTTAACTGATATATAAAATTGTGCATGTTTATAGGATATCATGTGATATTTTGATACATGTTTACCAAACTTTATTAATGCTAAAAAGCTTTTAAATATTTTTGATGGAAATATTGACAGTGTATATTAAATAAAAATAAAATAACTATATAGTATCATATTTAATTGTTTTTGAGTTCTAGAATACTGATGTTCTTTGGATTTAGTCATTCATTCATTTAGCCATTCATTCAATCATTCAACAAGTATTTATTGTGTTACTATTTCCAAGAACCATAAAAGACAGGAGATTTAGAGCAGTGAATAAAATATACAAAACCCCCTCCTCTAATGGAGCTTGGATTCTAGTTCATATGTGAATGTATACCCCAAATTTAATGTGTTGGAAGTTTGGTCCCCAGTGCAAGGTGTTGAAACATGAGACGCCTTGGAGGTGACTGAGTCATGAGGGCTGTGCCTTCCTGAATGGATTAGTCCATCCCTGGACCAATGGTTTATTGCAAGAGTGGCTTTGTTGTAGAGCAGCACTCTCTGGCTCACTTGCTGTATCTTGCCACATTATGATGTAGCAGGAAGGCCCTCCCCAGAGGCTGAGCAGATGCCAGTGCCATGCTCTTGGATTTCTCAGCCTCCAGAACCATGAACTAAATAAACCTCTACTCTTTATAAATTACCCAATTTTGGATATTTTGTTATAGTAACTGAAAGCAGATGAAAAGAGTATGCAGAATGTTTGGCTTTACAGCATACAGGCCTTGACTGGTGTGGTCTGGGTTGCTCTGTCTCCTTCCTCTGATGTCAGCAGTCACCCGCATTGCCTCTCCTGATCTGGGCTTCCATTGCAATTCTTTTACCTAAGCATCTGTCTAACCATATCCCTGGGTGGAGCTGCCGAAGCAGATCATCACATTCCTGTTGTACATGTGCTGCTCCTCACCCTTTTTGAGGAAATCTACCCCTACTTTCATTGTTTGAGTTCTTGTTTGTTCCCTTTTGTTGTTCATATGATTCAATTCCAATGATTCAATTAACAAGTTCAGATTCTATTTTTTTTCTAGGAGGATGAATGTATTTATGTGCAAATGAGATGCTTGGAAGAATAGCTATCATCAAGTGATACTGTATATTAATATTACAATATGAAACATGGTCTAATGCAGACACCAACATTTTGAAGGAGAGAAAAATATATTTCCTTATATTATATTTTGACCACTGCTAAAACCTACCTGGTCAGAGTGCAGGGAGATGAGTGTGAATTCTGAACTGCATTTAAGGAAACAATAGTGACTAAGATGAAAAAGAATGTCTAAGACTCATTCATAGATGCAGCAGACATTGGAGCCAGGAGGTCACCCTGGGCAACACAGCAGCACGGTGGTTATGAACACAGTGGTTCTGGGATTGCTATTCCCCTTATAGTTCACCCTGGCTACGCAGCATTGGCATGCCTCAGTTAGGTAAAGTATCTTATATTGTCCCTGGCACACAGTAAACAGTTGGTAAATGTTAGCTATTATGATCTCAGTCTTTCAATTTTTTCCTGATGTACTGCTTACCTAACAAATAGTAAGAAATGCTGAATCATTTAGATGGTCAAGAAAGGGCTCTCTTTTCCCTTCTGAAATGTAAAAACCCAAACACACTCTGGCCAGTTTTATTCCCCACCCTCCCACAAGAAGGACCATAGAGGCAAGTAAGAACAGGTCAAGCAGCTAGGCCAACTTTAATTTCATGCACTAATAGTACGGCAATTTCCTTCTTACCTTAAACTTGTCAACTTCAGCTTTTGAACATGTCGCATGGTATGACAACACCTGATTCAGAACAAAAGAAAAGAACTTCAATAACTAAACCTGAGGATATTTTCTGAAATTCTCCTGCTTACAAATATACCTTGATCCTGTATAGCACCTTGATATAACAGTGGATTTAAAAAAAATGATTTCCTTCTTTTTATTAGTATATGTTTACAATATATAATAAATACATTAATCATGAGTAATTGATACATATACATATAAGAAGTAAAAAGGATCAAAATGTGATATGTGTAACACTGGATTTTAATGTATGACAAGAGATTTCTATTAATCGTCGAATGAAAGGCTAATTATTTTATATCAGGATTTTCTATAGGTTATTCCATTAAAGGGAGACTGATGTGGTTCAAGACTACAGTTCCCAAATAATGTGGATATCTGGCTTGTGAAATGTTCTGAAAATAAAAAGGTGTGTGTGTGTGTCCTGTGGCAGATACTGTATGTTGCTGACTCCAGTTCTATTCCCTGCCTATTCTCACTTGCCTGCTTTTCTTGTATAGGAAAGATTATATTCTGTATTTGCAAGCTGTTTTGTAAGAGGATTATATTCCCTTGCCCTGTTGCTATCAGCCTTAGCATGTCACTTGCTTTGGCCAAGGGAGCATGGGGGAAAATGACAGGTGCCCCTGTTGAGTAGTATCTTTAAGAACGATCACATGGTTCTTCCATCTGACTTTTCTATCCATTATGATTTCATTTCTTTTTCCTTGGTTTTCTCCCCTTTCACTTTTAGAGAGACATTTAAAGCAACTTACAATCGAACATTGTTTACTTTTCATTATTTGTCATAAGAAAAATATAATGCATTATTATTATATGTGCTTCCAAGCACATATACTGCATTATAAGATCTATAACAACTTCCTAAAACTTACCTAAAACACAGTAACAGTCACAGGTATGTATAAAACAAAAAATGATATGAGGTTACAAGTTGCTTAAATGTTAGGTTTCTTTCAATTAAGTAATAGCTTCTCTCCCGTTGTAAACTTTCCTCACTGACTTTGTTTCTTTTTCCTTGGTTTTCTTCCTTCTCACTTTGGAAAATACTCACAAAAATGTACTGGGAGATATGTTCGCTAAGGTTTGGTTATTAAAAATGAAATGTTTTTCTTAGCCAGGCACAGTGGCGCCTACCTGTAATTCTAGTAGTCTGGGAGGCTGAGGCAGCGAGATCATGTGTTCGAGAGTACATGAGAATTTAGCGATTTAGCAAGATCATGCGGCAAAAAAGGGGGCGGGGCCCTTGTTGCCTTTGCTGCCTTGTGTGCGCCTTGTTGTTTCTCCTCCGTGAGGCCTGTCTGCCTTCCCTGCCTTGGAGCCAGCTGATTATGGACTGAGGCCTCTGCAACTATGTGTTTAAATATATCATAAGTGGGAGACGTGCGGGGAGCAGAGTGCCCAGGACTGACTGAGCCCAGCTCTGTCCGTCCAGCTGGCTATGCCTACTTGTGACCAAGACCTGATAAGGACCCCCGCCCCCCTTGTCTGTACAGCTACCTAGTTCCACACTACAGAGGCACAGGGAGACATAAAGGCCATTGTCCTGAACTGCAGAAGTGAACAAGAGAGAGAGGGCCTCTCTCAGGCTCCCTGATGAAAACTGAAGCCCCCTGGAAAAGTGAAGAGAATCTGCAGTAAAGGCACACCAGACCACCGTGCTTGGTAAGTTGGAGGGATCGTCACCTCCCATCAGAACCTGGACTATCTTCAGGGGAAAGGCAGCTGGATGGAACCTGCAGTAGAACCTCACACAGTTCAACCCTGCAGGAGGTCAGGGAGCTCATCTTGGGACCTGCAGCCAGAAATCTGCCTGAATCTCACAGGTCTGTGACTGGCTTACTGAGACTCATTGACATATAACTGCACACTGCTGCCCACATTGTCTATTGTGACAGAAGAGACATACCCTGAAGGAGGCCCTTCATTTTTATCTTTTATTTGTTGTTTTCAAAATTACCACTATTTTTTTTTGCTCTTATTTTTAATTTTTTCCCTTCGTTTTCTACTCTTTTAAAATTTTTTATCTTTCTCTTTTTCCTTTCTTTTCTTTTCTTTTTTTTTTTTGCACTTTATTAAATTCTTTTATTGGTGCATTGTAGGTATACAACACAATTACGTTTCTCATTGGGAAGTGTACCTTTACATAATGCATCTTGGTTCTTATTTTTTCCCCATTCCTAGCCCTCCCTTCACCCCCTCCACCCTTCCCTATTTACAAAGACTT